GTCTGTCTGTCTGTCTGTCTGAAGGGATCTAGAGATTTTGAGAAGCCAAGGAAAACTGAAGCTGTTCTGGTGGCTTGTGGTGACCCAACACCTTACTAAGACACTTAATGTTTTTTTTTTTTTGTACACTCTCTTTGCACTTCTAACCTATTTCTGGGCCTCAGTTTGCCTCTCTCTCTTTTTTCATCTCTGTCTTTTTCTCTCTCAGATACGAACACACACACCAACACACACAAAACCACTAGAAGGACAATAATGGTACATACTGTGGGATGGATGCTAGTGGTTAACCAGACACTAACTCCAGCAGAGAACTTTGCTGTCATTTTGGCTTTGTGCCGTGGTAATGACATTGTCTCTGGGGTGTGGTTGGCTGAGATCAAAGGGTTACTCTATGTGCCAAGTCCCCAACAAGAAATGAGCTGCCCCCTCTATATCTCTGTTGATCCTGTCAAGCAAAAGAATCTTGTCGTAGTGATTTAGTATCATGGTCCGTGCAACTTTACTTGCTGTAAATTTAGTATACCAGGAATGGGTGAAGAGAAAATGTGTGTGTTGTAACCACATTGTGAAGGCTATGTAACCCAAGAGCCTTTCCAACAGCAGCTAAGCTCCTGACAGGGTCACCCTTAAGCTTATTTATGCATAGTCACTCAACGGTCTCAACAGTTGTGTCTTAAGAAAAGATACTATGTCGCAACATGCCTTACATTTATACCTTAGTGACTTAAAGAAGAAATTATGCAAATTATTATGATTAAGTAGAGTCCTAGCACAATTAAAACATTTTCTACCCCACAGATTCAATGTATTCACTTAATTCATTCATTGTAATGTGCCATTACAAATGACAAGATTGGCTGACTTCTGACAGCCTTGTTGGCCTTAAAGTGGCAAGTAATTCCATGGTAATGAACTGAGTATAACCATTCATCTGCTTTCTATTGCTGTGTAAGTCCTAGCAAGTGTCAAGCTCTTCCACAAAATTGTTGCTAATGTAGCTATTCCATACATTTTTGTGATTTCAGAAAAATTGGTGCTGACCTGAACGTTAAGAGCAAGAAAAAACAAAGGTAACTACAGTATGCTGGTTTCACCACACTTAAACCAGTATTTATTTCTGTAGACCAATTAAACCCCAAGAATTATGCTGAAAACTTGTCTATATCCTTACACACTTCCCCGATGGTATGCAGACTACACTTATTTATCTGTTACCCGCAGAAGGCATACTTCTCATTCATATAGCAACATCCAGCTATGTTCCAACACAACATAAGCTGTACAAGCTGCAATAAGGTGACTGTATGAGCTGAGTTCATACTCTTTTTCCATGTCAAATGTAAAGTACACAAGAAGCAATCCATCTTGTGTTGCCTCCCTTGAATACAGAAAGTAAGCCCTGCACCCCAGCCGCAGTTGCCATTTTTCAATCTTCACCGTTTTAATACTGATGACAGTCATTTCAAAGTTCCCAAACAATTCACCACCCCAACTGCTTTCTAGCTCCCTGTCAAGGGCAATATCTGAGTCTGAATCAGCAAAGCCACAGTGCTTTTGGCAGACTACACTGCTCAGAAAAATGACATCAAAATATCAACAAAGATTGTAGATTAGTATACCATCACAAGTAACTTTGCAGCTCTGAGGCTTGGACTTTGGTTCTCCTGGGTGTTATCATATCAAATGCCTATTAGCCATTCCCATCCTTCTCCATCAAAAAAATCCAACCCCTTATGTAAGCAATCACCAACAAACTCAGAAAACTAAAATAAAGTATGATAGATGGTAAGATAGAGAATGCAATCCAGATGCCTAAAAAATTACTATTCATTGGGCACTCTATGGTTGATTCCTAGCTGGCATCACAGCCGATTGTCGGCAAAACAGTTATTAAAATACCAGCTGCAAGGCATAACCAAAAGCTCCTTCAAAGTAGGTAACATCTTCAATAACCTTGTTTTGCTACTGATCAGCTACTGTGGTATTTTATATGTTGTTCCAAAGTGGCCACATTTAAACTGGAGCCATGCAAGCCTACTGCCTGTTCTTCATCTCCCGAACTAATCCTCACATGCCTCATCTGTGGCATGAGCCTTCAGGACAGTCACCATAGCCACATGCATGCAATTGTACAATTGCTTAGAAGCATTGCCTGAATGAGAATCTCAACTCAGTTATTTGGGGCCTTGTTATGTTATCAGTTTTCCAAGAGGGACCACCATAAGCAAACAAGTGTGCATGATTGTGTGTGCATTTTGTGCGAGCAGTTTTTGGTGTGTGTGTGTGTGTGTGTGTGTGTTTGTGTGTGTGTGGATGTGTGCATATGCTCGCAACTGCAAGGACACAGTGTAATCAATGTTCATTAGGAGTTGAAGAGATGGCATTTGATGCTCCACGTTATTGGAGTGGAAAAATAAATGTCAGTGATTACATGTACATGGACTGATGTTGGTAAGAGGAATGGGCTTTGAGGAAACAGTTTTTGATGTAACCGTGTATCTACACACTTTTCAACTCACAATGTATTGGATAGATAACAAAGTGTGTGAGAATTTACACAGAGTGAATAGAGGAGATGAAGAGGCAGAGAGAGGTAGTGACAAGACCATTGTGTTTTGTTAACCTGTGTTTGCATATTTTCCACACATGCACATGCACTTGTGTGTCCACATAGAGTATACAGTCAGTGGCCTTGTAATGAGGTGATCTCACCACATTTGACCCTTGGGGAACAGTGTGTTCTCCACAGTAAAAGTGCTTTTTGTATGAACAATGTGTCTTTCACAGCAGAAATCCTTTCTTTATGGTTACATGGACATGTTCCACTGGTGTCTCATTCCTCTCAGAGAATAAACCATCTGCACTGTTGTTGGTTGGAACTCTTTTTCGCTCAGACAGAAGTGGTGCCATATAAATATCACATGCATTAAAGGGTGTCTACCTTTGTTTTTCGTAATCCTTGCCAAAGTGTTCTTGAGCAAGGCAGCTGACCACAGCTGTTCAAGAATTCCTAGTTCATTGGCCTTGTAAAATGCATCATCAGCAGTGAGAACAAGCTCTGCAGCCAACATCACACACTTCCAACATCACACACATGCCTCTGAAGAGAGAGCACTGTCAGTGAAGGGGTGTGAAGCCTAACAACTTTAACACAACGTCTCTCCTTTGCAGGGATATGAGCTTACAATTTAACAACGGATATTGGTGTCACTCAAAGCAAGATACTGCAGAATCTTTGTTTTAGCATTTTAATACCCTGAAATCTATTAAGGAACTGCACAATAATGAATTCAAATTACAAATAGGGCATTAAAGGAGATAGTATACTTCAGCAACATGCCTTAGCTTTGACAATCCATATAAGAAGAGGAGATTAAATCCGACTGAGCCAAATGCACTTCTATGTGTCCCAAGCTTTGTGTGTGTGTGTGTACATGAACATATTCCTCACCCTTATGTTTTGGGCAATCAGCCCCTTTCTATGTTGCAACGGCAACAGATCAATGCTTCCACCAGGCTTAGTTGGAATCAATGGCTTCTTCTTTCGTCTTCAATAAGCATTACTTTAATGAGAGCAGCAAACTTCTGCACTCACCCTGGGAGACATCTAATTAAATGTCCCAATTGCTAAAATCACTTAACTTGCAAACAAGCAAAATAAGTTATTTAGCATTTGTCTCCCAAAAATTGAGGCTTCATTAACATCAATATGTAAATTGATTAATGGTTTGGAAAGCAATAATACCAAATCACCAACAAATCAAAGACCATGCTCTGAGCACTGAAGGAGAATGCCTATTTGTAATGACCAATTTATGATCTGATTTGTTGACTGACTTGTTGATAGGTTGGTTAATAAGATATTTGATTTCATGTCTTTTTTCATTAATTTTAATACTTGTTAACGTCTGATGTGAAACAATTACATCGGTTTTTCACATTTAACTGAGATAAACTGTAATGTGTAATAATCACACATATTTAAACAAATGCAAAAATGTATCACAAATTCCATAACGTGTGTATATATATACACTGCATACAGGGCAAACTGTGTATGGCCTTACCTTAGTAACAGCAGGGTATCCAGCAGCCACCTCACCAGAGCAGTAGGGCTTCTTCTCATGGGAAACTTCGACAGTGGAGGCCCACTGGTCGAGGAAACCATTGGGGGTGTAGAGGCCACAATCTCTCACGCCTGTCTCTCGCTCAAAGTCCTCACACACCCCATCACCATCATAGTAATAACACATGCTTGGCTCCTCTGCAGGTGAACAGAAAACAGAAAACAGCTGTACTTTCAAACACATCTTTCTGTGTGTTTTACCTGTGTAGAACAAGTTACTTTTTCAGTACAGTTATTATTGTATTGAGTACAGTTAAAATATCAGTCGGTTCTCCATATCCCCCGCCATCGGATAGCATTTGTAACCTTATCTCTATTATTTAGAAGGTGATGAGGGAGAGGACCAGATAAACATGGGGGAAAGAGGTAAAGGATAAAAACTTCATGGAAAAAGAAGGATCAACTCTTGTGTGACGATCTACAAACAGAGATGAGAGAATATGTTAACATCGGGAAGAAGAAGGACACAAACACAAAGAATGAAAGGGAGAGAGTGATAAAATGAGATTGAGAGAGACAAACGCAGAGGAAAGAGGGAGGTAGGGGGAACCAGACAAAGTCAAGAGGTAAAGAAAGATACAGCCGTAATTTTTACAGATGTCCCACCCGGAGTTTAGGTCTGGAACTGGAAGCTTATGGACTGGAGGAGAGGGGAGCAGAGCAGGGAGGTTGCCTGGGCCTCATTGCTCTCAGCTCTCAGCTAAAGCAGTGTCAGCCGGTGGGGTTCCAGTTAGGGGGAAAGGCGGCATTCTGTGCCAAGTTGGCTGGGGCCTCCTCCTCGAAATTCCAGCCCTCTCCAGCACAGCCAAAAACTCAAGTCAGTTCTGTGCTCTGGCAATGGTGAAACAAGGGGCTACTGAGGGGGCATACAGAATACGCTCCCGCCACTCACTCAGTAGGAACAGAAGAAGGGAAGGAGTGAGAGTGAGTCGAGAGGAAGCTCAAACAGTGGCTTGTGAAAGCTGAAGAAGTAATAGGTAGAACGTGAGCTAAAGAGAGAAAAGGAGAAAAAGGGATGGAAAAGGAGAAAGAAAGAGTACAGTATTTGAATTTGGACAGGGATAGAATAAACAGATAACGGAAAAAGTGCAAAGGTGATCGAGTGCAAGAGCAAAAAGAAGAGAGCTCTACAGTTCGAGAAAGAACCAGAGGGATGAGATGAACAAGACGGATAGACAGAGAGAGAAAAGAAAGGTCCAGAGCCTGTCTAAACAAACTATACCTGTTTTTTTGTTGTTGTTTGTTTGGTGGGTTTTTTGTGTTTTTTCCAAGACAGAACCACAAGCTACATTGTCAATATGTCAAAGCAGGGCAGATCTGACCTTCTCAAACCATCACTTTTGTGGTAGCAGGAATATGAGATTGCATTTCTTTTATGCTTTATCTGCACCTGTGTTTACTATGGCTAGAAGCCCTATTGAGAAAAGACCACTGGGATTGTAACGCCAGGTGGGGTCATGTGAGAACTTGTCGATTTCGTCAATTCCAGATATAATTCGGCTCAATCGTGTGAATAGCCTATTAAAGCCCATCCAGACCGTAGCACCCTGGCCCTGTTGTATACTTACTGTCAATTCTCCATCCAACTCTCTCTTTCACTATCCAACACACTGACAAGCAGGCACTCTCTCACACATACAGACAGATGGACAGAAGGTCCCATCATTATAGTGTCAGATTTCTGTGCAAAACTACAACTATGTCAGACAGTGTCAGACACACACAAAACACACACACACACACCCCTGAGCACTGCAGTTGGTGGAAAAGCAGCACAGCCAATGCAGTCATCCAGCAATCTGACACGGATTAAGTGGCCACTTCACAGAGGCTCACACGTGTGTGCATTCATGTACTGTACATTCACAAACACACACACACATACAATCACAACAGGTTGGTAAAGTGATTGTAAAACAGTGGGAAAACTGGACAAGAACCAATCCATCTATTTATTGAAAAAAAAAAAACATATGAGATGCAATGATTTCCAGATTTTTTTTTAAACAGGAATTCAAAGTGATTATATCTATGATATATTTATTCTTTTGAGAAGGGCATGACGTACTTGGATAAAAGATGCCTTCACGTCAAATCTGTCCATTCACAAAGTTAGCCTCTGTGTCTCATTGACAACTATGCAGCCTTTCTTAAATCCAAACAGAAAATAATATCAGGGCAGAGAAGAACCCAGAATTAAAATGTTACGTAAGAAACTGGCGGTCAAATTTTAACTTGATAAATGTTAACACATGTCCATATTACAAGCCATTTACACATATGATATATTATTTGCACACATCCCACTGTGTTAGTCCTGAATACATTTACTACACAAGCAACTCCTTGATACATGTCACACGAGGTAAACTGAAGGTAAACAAACTCTCTTCTATTTCCAGTATTTTCCTCAACAGCAATCCAGAGAAATAAACCAGGGAGCAAGCATTCCTATTACAACTTTGACAACATATGACTTACCAATACAATTGAAGAAGGGCTCTTTCTTGCACTGACTGGAGCAGCCGTCCCCATTCATAGAGTTCATATCATCACATTCTTCTCCTTTGGAACTAAAACAGCAGGAGGCATTACTCAGAAAACATACACATACACATTACCAAACTGATTTAGGGTTGTTTTCTGTATGAAAAAGGAGACACACGCACATCTGTATGGATGTAGTTTAGTACATACATTTTGATCATGTGAGTGTAGGTGCCTATTACCTCTGGATGCGTCCATCACCACAGTAGTGTTCCCCCAATTCATGCACTAGAGGTGGGGAGGGTTCACTCTCGCTCCGGCCAGAGATAGTTTGGACCTGGTAGGTGTACACAACATGTGGCATCACATCCCTGCACAAAGAGAGGCAAAAATCCCAGTGAGTCCACATATTTCGGGATAATGTGAAGCCTTGAAGGAATGTCTGGTAAAGAATCACATATGGGGGGAAAAAACAGTGAAAGCTTGTATATTAAAAAAGGGCCTCGGACCAGTCCTGTGGAGGTTGATAGGATCTGTTTGCTAGAGATTAAGTGTGTATTATAGAAATAGTTTGGTAACTAAAGTATCGCTAGCCAACACAGTTAAAAACATCTGTCTCAGCACACACTTCCGCACATCTACCTATCCAGTCATACACTGATATGGCTGCGTTTACCCATTTTGGGTCCAGCTTTCTTTTTTGTTTCCTTATCATAGTGATTCAAAGAACCATCATGATGAATACACAATGGACAGGAGAAATATTGGGGGACTACTCACTTTGCCGGTGTAAGTCGCCATGATGGTTTCTTGAGTCACCATGATAAGGAAGTCTGAAATAAAAGTCTGAAAGGAAAAAAAAACATAAATGAGAAAACCAAAACCATAAACAAAAAAAATCAAAGCTGTAAATGAGAAACCAAAGCCATAAACAAAGCAACAAAACAAAACTCAAGAAAAGAAAACTGTCACTGAGAAACAACAACAGTGCAAGTGAGGGTGCTGTCATGACATCAGTTCTCCTGTTTTTATCATTATGTTTTTATCATCATCATTGCTTACTTTTTTCTCTCTGATCTGTGGTTTGCCTTTACATGTTACTTGTATTACCATATGTTTTAATAGTTCCTGTTGGATTCTGGCCCTGTTTTAACTATGGGCAGGTTTACTAGTTCCTGTAAGCCATTGATCAAGTGAATGGCACACATTATGGGTCTCTTCAGACTCATCAAAAATCTTCTGTTTTAATTGCTCAGAAACATGGAGCTGAGGCAAGTAGCCTGTTTTACGAATCCACATTTTGTGTTGTTTCATGTTAACAACTTTCTTAACAGGAAATGGAACTAAGAAGGAAGGTAACACAAAAAACATGTAAAGGCAAGCAAATAATCTGAGAGTTTATGTATGTATTTATCTATTTTTGACTGTTATGAACGATAAAAACAGGATAACTGATTTTCAAATCAGCACTCTCATTTGCAACTGTATTGTTAACAGTTTTCTTTCTGTTTTGACTTTTTTTTTCCTTTTGCTTATAGTTATGGTTTCTCATTTCTAGTTTTGATTTGTCGTTTATGGTTATGGTTTCTCCTTCATGGTTTTCTTTTTTGGCTTTCAGAGTTTTAGTCCATTGTGCATGTGTTTTTGTGAGCATATGTGTAAACAACACTGAAGACCAAGGTTAAGACATATGTTCTAATTTTGATTCAGACATGCGTCACAATTAATTTTACAATGTATGTTATGAACGCCCTAAACGTTCATGGATTAAAAAACATTTTTAATGCCGTTATCTCGAGATCATGTTGTGGCGCACTCTTATTGATCTTATGAAGTGTATATTATTGTTAACTTGAAAAATCGGCCATAGATAAATTAACCCATTATTACGAGAAAATAACCTTTGTTATCCAGAGGTAACAAAATAATTAACTCACGATCTCGAGATTACGGCATTAAAAAAATGTTTAGGGTTACATTATTTTGTGAATTCTATATTACATTATGCATTGACTGTCTGAATATTGACATGTCACAATTTCCATTTATTGTCATGTATTGGTGTAGTTGTAATTGTGTTTTGTTTGAATGGAAGGTGATGACTATGGTTAATTACAAAGACGAATCCAGTTACCTTACCTATTACAGACAAATTAATGAAATTGATGGGGTTTTTTTTTACAAAAAACAACATATTTTACTGTTTATTTACAGTTTACAGTAATATTTATGATGTGCTCGTGTGAAGTTTCTTCATGCTGGAAAAATATACTTTGACCAATGGACTGCAAAAGGAACTGTTCCAAAAGCTAACATAACAATAATTATCGACTATGAACTTCTAGCAATTCTTTTATAATCTTATTTAATTTAATCTAGAACACAATATGGAATTAAAAAATATCAGTAATAAAGTTTCAAAGTTTCAAAAAATCACGGCAGTTTCATTTTTGGTATGCGTTAGTATGACAGGAATAGTAGAGAACATGAGCAAGTGTAATGGATGCTGTATGTTCTCTCTGTTAGAGGATAGGAATCCATAATTGTTGCGTATAATCATGGCTAGTATTAGTTAAGTACATAGCAACAATCAGGTATAAGGGTGGGGAACAACATCAAATGAGGATAAATAAGACCAATAGGTTAGCTATAGATCATTACATACGGATCATCATGTACCATAAACCAAATGATTGAATGCCCTCTGCAATGCTGTACATGTAGTGACAAGCATGCAGGGATACTGTACTGCTCACACGAGTACCAGGGCATTCATGGATTCATATGCCCATTACACAAAGCAACTCACACACGGACCCATATATACATACATGCTGGCACACACACACAAAATACCTTTGGTATTAGTAACCCATTGCCAGCCAACTGTGGGCTTTGAACTCAAATAGTGAACAGGCATGAACCACAGTTCTCACTGCCGTCGCATATAATGCTAATGGTGAGTGCAATGCAATACCAGCAGCAAACATTGCTCTGGTACCACAAAGGCTTCACCAATGGCCAAAGCTTGAGTCAGCAATCAAACCAAGAAAGTGTTTGAATGATGTGCAGGAAAGCCATAGGCTTTGATAAACTCAAACCAATCAATTTAACATGTTTAATTAGGCAAACTAGTGAATAAGAGGCTGACTAATAACAGGGTTGGTGGTTCAATGCCTGGCTCCTGTCCAAATGTGTTCTTGGGCAAGAAACTGAATCCCAAGTTGCTTTCATGGTAGCTCCATCACCATTGGTGTCTTAGTGTGTGTGAATGGCTAAATTAGAGCACTTAATGGACATTAAGGTAGAAAAGCACTATATAAGTGCATTCCAGGAACACCAGAATGTTATTAAATGTTTAATCAAAGAGGAAGGAATTCAACATACCCATGTACAAACATATAATAATACAAATACTGCATTGCATGGGAGTTGTACAAGTGTGTGTTTGGTGTTTGCTTGCATGTATACATGCTCTCATGTTCTTCATCTAGTTATTCATGTTAAAATACACAAACAAAAGATTTACAACAGGAAAGGTTATTTTTTTCATGACACTTCATGGTCCATGGCTTTTGTTTTTGTTTCCCTCATCTTCATTTCTCCATTTCTCCTGTGTTTGTTCATCATATTCCCAGCAGATGAAAGTAGACTAAGTTCAAGTTAGCTGTGCTGTCCTAAATATGAAAAAAATGATGGACCTAAAGATCAAGTAACAAAATGAATTTCCCCACAGCAAAATGTGTGCCTAGGATTAGGTATTTATGTTGGCTTTATTATTATCAACACAGAATGTTTGACCTGACATACTCTCTTTTATATTACAGTATGTCCTGTTCTGCAATGTTGGCTCATGCTGATGCAACTCCAGGCTACACTCAAACATGCCCCCTCTAATTGAATTAGTTTAGCCCCTGGAAAAGTCAAGCTGTGGGAGACTTTATCTTTGAGGAGAGCAAATACACAGAATAGACGGAAAGAAAAGTGAAACAGATATTGCTGTGCAGCAAGGCAGCACATGAATTTCCTTCTTGTGGATAATGAGAAATTCTGGCTATCATACTGTAGGTAAACCAATGCACAAAAAAATAATTGCACTGCTGGATCGGGCAACACTGAGAGACATGGTCATGCAAAGATAGGCAGGAACAAAGAGACAAGTGGCTAGATCCGTCTGAGGAGGAGATAAACGGGGAGTAGAACAGGAAAATACATCGAGCAAATCCATGGGAAAAACAATCAACTGAAAGAAGAGATATGAAAAGGGAGGAGTAAATGATGACTTCTAAAATAAGGTCTAGAGAAGTTGCATATATATAGGGCAGGGGGACCTCTGTGGAAAAAATGATGAGGTAATATTCATCTATTTCAAATTACGCTGAAGTTTATTCCATCGGTCTTCCCACGAGTAGTGAGAATCAAGATAGTGTTCTCCCAATAGCTTTGAGTCAGCTGATGTTTACTTACTCCTGCTGCACCCAGTTATTGGGGATTTGGTGACCATAGAACCCTGAAAAATGACAACATGGTTCACAATTTTCCTGTGAAGCTATGTCTTGCAGTCCTGGGAATAATGACGGTCCTCTTTCAGAAGCAAAAGTGGAAGTAGCGTGATGTTGGTGTACCGCCACAAAAGTCTTAGGGGGAAAGCTGAGGTGGATGACAACCAAGGTCTATTAGACCACAGGTTGTGGTTTGCGTCCACAGTCCACTTTGATTTTCTTTTGCAAGTCTGTTTAGGCTAAGAACTGAAAACCAGTGAGCCGTGTCAATAGCAGCCTACTGCAAACACTTTAGACCTGTTAAAGTCTTAGGTCGACTGAACAGCTCCAGAAGTTTTTGCACTAAAAGTCCTTTCCTTACCTTTAAGGTTCATTGCTTCAATTTAAAACACCAATCACTGGACTCTGCCAGACCTATACCATCCTAAAATATTTCTCCAGACTACACCAAGGATCGCTAACTGTCCCTCACTCTATCAAAGTGCCTGCAGGCCTTGATTCTACACTCGTCTGCCCTGTCACACTTGAGGGCACTGTGGCCTTTCTCTGTGGTCCCAGATAAAATGTCTCCGAGCATGGCATCTAGATAAACCTTTCCTATGCATAGGACTCCATCAGAACACAACAGAACTTCTCAAATCTAACTGTTTAGGTCTGTATAGCCTTCTGAGTTACATGATTACTCATAACACAGATAGCGCCTCATTCACAAAGCAAACAAAAAGCTAGTCATTGCCCCTATCAAAGCTATCAAATGGTTTCTTCATCCTGTTCTGGACTGAAAGTGAAAGTATGCTGCTAAGCAAATATGTTACCTGGGTGTCATGCAGCTTTGGTTATACAGGTTCAATAGTGCTACTCCTAATAGCGATGACAACTGTTTAAACATGGCTTTCACTCTGTTCCCAATTAGTTGCCAGTGATAGACATGACTTCTGACAGTCAATCAGACTTTATAAGACCACACTTTCATCTGTTACTTATTAGATATGATATGTAACTGATCTGATACTCATACTAGGACTTTACTCTAGTCACAGACAATGTGTCACGTGACAAGATTTCATCATTGGTGCCTCTTTGTGCATCCAGACACTCTTCTTAAGACCCCTGTAGGAAGAGAGGTTTTTATCTTGGCTTGCACTCAAAGTCAGGCACAAGGCACCGTATATGCCTTTCAGAGGTGTTTTGATAGCAGCAGGTGATTACACATGGAAGCATGTGCTAATGTATGTGCCTGCTACTAAGAGTGTTGGTGTGTGTCTGTGTTCATCTGTGTGTGTTCCTGCCTTCAATTATGTGTGCACAAGGCTTATGTGTGAGCATGCATATGGATGTGTTTCCGTTCTGTAGCTGTTTGTTGTTCTTGGCTGAGAGATCCCAGATGAGAAAAGCAGATAAATTTAAGGACGTTGAGAAAATATCATAGATTGAGCCTGCAAGAACAACAAACAGGGCAATACTCCTTTTGTCAGTGTGGCAGCTGACATGGATTTGAGGTTTTACTGCTATTCATTTTACACTACAGTATGTCTAAGAAACTAATGATACATGTTTAGAGAGGTACTTTAGAGAGAGGTCTAAAAAAGGGAATTGAATTGAGCCAGGAGATCATTTTAATGCCAAATGCATGCATTTATCGTCTGTTTTGCTATAGCTATATCAACAGTTTGCGTTTGCATTAAGAGCTGCTGCTACATCATCAATTAAATTAAACTAAAGACAGAAAGATATCCCAGTCCTCCCTGACCACTTACCTCAATCATGGCTTCCATCCAGCTAACCCCCAAACCCTTACTTGCACTACAATACATATCATTGGTATTCCCCAACATATGCAAATACATAAATACTACAAAGGTAAAGTTTGTTGTTAATAATGCATTGGCCTGCTAAGTGTATAATTCTTATCTTGACACAAAAAAGAAAAAAGTGATCTCCAGTGCAGCCTCTGCCCAAGAAATTCAACCTTCTTCTTGAACATCCACACTAACAAACCTGCCAACACACTTTTGATATCCAATTTCTTAGACTAGTCCTGATTTATTCCTATATAATTTGTCTGTTTCCTATGCTGGAGAAAAGCTGGTGAGTGCACCAGACATCCCATGACTCCCCATGAGGACTACACTATTCACTCTGTCTGCAACTCATGAATGGTTCATATCAGGAGGATTACGCAAGGCCAATATCCTATAGGGAAGGGGAGCGGGTGGTGTGGTGGTGTGGGGGGGTTGAGGGATTGGCCTGATATGAAAAGAAGAAATTGTTAAGAAGTAAAATCAATGAGTGATGAGAGGGAATGAAAAAAATAAAGTGTTGCCAAGACCTTCATAGTTTCCAATACTGGCAATAAAACTAAAAGTTTGCCTACTAATATTAAATTCAAAATAAGTACAGATTAAATTTGAAATACACTTAATTATTTACATTGCTAATTAACCAAAACTGTCTTAACGAATAAAACATTTTTCCATGTACCACCCAAACAAATATTAAGTCGGCTCTACACTTAAGGACGTGGTATGCTCAAAAAGAACTACTTTGCATGACGTGTTGTCCAACCACATCAGTAGGCAAAAGTGTCACTCACCTGGCCAATCATTGTGTGAAAGGGACATGAAAGTTGGATTTTTAGTTACAGAAAGTTACAAAAATTGTAGGACACAGTAGAGTCAGAGTATCTGGGCTGCTTTTCTGGTACGCACAGAGGGTACCTGCTGGAGCACAGGGCTATGTTTCACAATTACCCAGAAAGTGTGTAGCACAAAAACATAAACAAGCAGATCTTGCATCTTCTTTTTAAGAGGAAACATTAGGTAAACTGAGTTCTCAAGCAGCAGCAGACTTGTCAGCAGAGTAGCTAAGGGATGGATGGGGGAAGAGTTTTGCAGAACCAAGTCAGATTACAGAGGGGCTGTGGGGTAGTGATGCTAGGGGAGCTTCCCTCTCTCTCTCTTTTGGCTGGGAGCTCTCTTCACATCAGCTCTGAGATAGGCTTTGACTGAATGACAGCTCTGAAGCCCATGTCAGGAAGAGGATTAGCCCATGGGCTGGGGTACATCAGAGGCATAGGGTCAAACTAACCCAATCCTCTTTATATTTTCTCTACCCCCTAATGTTCTCCTTCATCACCTATTGGCCTCCATGAGCCTAGCAGTGATTTACCCCCAACTGGTCCAACCTTCCACCCCTGCGTCTCCTCTTCACTTCACCATTCTTACTCCCCACCGTAATTTACTCTGTCAATCTGACCTCCCAGCCCTTAGCCATTCCAAACAAACCACCACCCATGGATGAAGACAAAGGAGCCTGTCAGTTGTCCTTTTGTTCAGTTTGCACCAGCTCAGGTGAAGGCCAGTGGTCTGACTGAGGTCGAGATCACCCCCTCGTCAAGACCCTATCCAGCCCCGTGGAAACATGTTGCATGAAGAAGCAGCATGCTGTGTGGTCAACAAAAGCATTTTAGTAGCTGGAGCAAGGCGATCAAACAGAGCACTTAACATTGGATTTGTGGCATGCCAAAACATCTGAGTGAACTTTGCTCTTTACTCCACCATGTCAAAGGCTATGTGTCTTCTGAGAGTGTTATGGGCCATTATCTTAGCCATCAAACCCCCATCACAAAAAATAACATCTCTGACTAATTTCTGACTCTTGGTTCTCCTGTTGCATTTATCATTTTGTCTGAATAATTTGTTTGTTGAAAAATACCACAGTAGTACTACGCACTGGAACATTTTTGCATTTCATTTCTTTTGTCTGAGTAGTCCCATGACATGCAAACAGAACCCAGAACATAGTAATATACTCACATATTTCCTCCCCTACATATGTATCATAATATTTATGTTTAAATTAAACAAAATACATCATATATTTTGTGTTGTTGTTACACTTATTATCCATGTAAATAAGTTAAAGATTTTGATTGCTCAAACATACATACTACAAAACGTCTCTGACCAGAGACAAAGAGACAAGATCCCATATGTTCTCACAACAGAAAATAGTCAGCCAGTGCCACTGACCACTACCACTGGAATGCAACCACAGCTAGTGAAATATACCACAGCAGCAAAACTACCTACAGTACATCAATAATCACTGAAGTGTGCCAAAACCCCCAAATAAATATATCCCTACTGCAGACAGCCTTCCATAGACACTGCAATTCAACCAGGAAGTTGTGTACAGACCTGGAATTTAGGTATCATCACTGCATCTTGCATAACATGCATACTCACCCTTTCGCCTCTTATCAAGCACTTTCCTTCTCATGTGAACCACGCTGACAGCACGATTGTGAGATGGCATAACACACAGCAGTGCCATGTATAGCACAATCTTTCTCGTGTCAGCACATTCCATGAAAGCAAAGCACTAAACTCTCACCACAGTGTGCAGATAATACCTTTAACAAGCCATCTGTTTGCCTTTGCTTCATGGAACATGGGAAAAAACAAATGTGAGCAACAATTGACCTGTGACTTAGGAAACAAATGTTGGGCTGCAGATTTGAAACTGCAAAAGCAGTAATGGCTTGTTAGTGCTCCTGGGGGTATTGAAAAGGATATCTGGTACTACAAGAACATATTTTTGTGAATAGTTTCCACAGATAGATAAACACCTTCTCCTCTCAATCCCTAATTACATCACACTAAAGAAAGGAAGCTAGAAGTTGACGGCTCAGCAATTAATATAACTTCTAAAAGAAAATACTATAAAAAAAAACTATGAAACCAAAGCATGCCCAACTTATTGTATGGCTTTCTTCTTCTTTGTCAAACCATGAGAAAACCTAAACCTTTATTCTATATGTTATTTAGAGATCATATTAAGTTTGCAGGTAGCTGAGACAGAGCCAGTCAGTGATGACTAAAGTAGATCTTAGTGCACTCATACAAGAATATTCACCTACCAGGTCACTCACCTGTCTGTATATCGGCGGGTAGGTTCATTCAACATCAGACCATGTGGTGCATGGGTAAAGGGTGGTTGGCGCAACAGGCGGTAATGTAGTGGTTGGCAATGCCTACAAAGTGTGCAGTCTGCCTTGGATGCCAAGAGGGTGGCATCAATCTCTAGGTGTTGTTCCATAGTGAAAAACTGTACCCCATACACCTCCTCCTCTATGTCCAGCTTAAGAGTCAGTGGGGTGTCACAGAAGACATTACTGGGGCCCAATGAAATGTTATTCCCACTGACAGTCAGTAGCAAGATGTTGTGGATTGCTGGCAGTGCTGTTTCCTCAGGGCTGAAGAAGGTGACCCACACAGTCAGGGAGTCTGGTACGAGCGGGTAGTGGAACTCTAGCTGAAGCATGCAGCCCTGGAGAGGGCACTCCGACAGACCGACAACACCTTGCTCGATCCCTGCATTGGGGCTCCAGGTGCGCACACTTGGCTCACAAGCCTGCTCCACATCTGGAGGGCCTGTGGGAAAAAAATATAAAAAAGAGACACAGTGTTATACATGCAACATGTAAACAACAACAACAACAACCTCAAATAATCCACATATACACACATACAACAAAACCATTAAATATAAATCATGTGCTATAAGCAAAAGCCATTTCCTATGCAAACATAATGAATGATTGTTAAATTACATAAATACATTAAATGTGTTATGCTACAGGTCCTTGAATTCCTCAAAGGATGCACAAAACAAAATGATGCTGGTGAGAAAGTCATTTTAAATTATAATGCCAGTAGCATTTTAATGAGAGATGACAGATCAAGGATTTGCATCAGTGATCCTTTTAGTGTATCTACACTTCTTGCAACATCAAGGTAGAGGTGAAACTGAGAGGTCATTGTGAGTCCATCTGCAGAGGAAAGGCAGAGCTGAGGTGTGTACCTTCTGAGAGGGGCCTGTGCAGGGTTCTCACTTCAGCGCAGTCATTACAACCTCTAACAGTCACACTCCAGCCATATTTGGAGTCCACACACAGCTAACTCGCATTATCCCAAGTGACGTACACTAACATTCATCAAGCACTTTTAGAAGCCAGCAAGCAGCAGACACTATGTTCTCCCTCGATTTCCTTTTGTGCATTTCCAAGCTGGCAACCAACAAAGCCATTTGCTAACCTCATTTCTGGGCACCATGCAAAATTCCAGTGTTTAATCAAGTGAGGACTGAATACGGTTTCCAAGCCACATTATCTCAACACATTTATTATTGTACTGTAAGTGTGTGTGTGGCCAGAGTGGAGGTGAATTAAAGAAAAAGAGAAAGAGACAGAGAGAAAGAGAAAGAGAGGGAGAAAGAAAGAGAGGGGAGGCCGGGAGAGAATGAACTAAGATACTCCAAGAGCTTGGCTTTGCTCAGCTCATGTAGTTCTGGCTTTCTGGGTAAATTTTCATTGCGTTTGCAAGGAAAGGAGCTGTAGCCACTGAAAATATTTTGTAATGTCAGCTGTTATGATGGGCCCTACTCCTGGTCTGGCGCTGTTGCTAATGTGGTTGGAGATTTAAGAGGAGACAGAATAGGGGTGTCATCCACTGTGTAACCTAAGGCAATGTAAACTGTATTTCAAAGCTGCAAAGCTGTATCTGTGATTGGCAGTACAATCTGTGCATGCAAAGGGTTTAAAATCCAACATCAAAACAACAATGATTTATATTTTATTATCTACTTAATTGTAGACAGAAAAGCTACCTGCAACAGGTCATCAAAATTCCCAATGAGAAGATAAATAATATACTTCATATCAATGTCTCAGTCTTCTGCACTTCACAGCAGAATACAGCCCCCAAAAAATATATATTACATGCCTACCACTATATAAACAGCCCGGCACTGAAGCGTTGGACCTATAATTGCCTTAAAGTGCAGAGAGGGGGCCTCTGAACCATCTAGACCTACGCTTTGAATATGAGCCATTCATTCTCTGTTGATGAGATGAATCCATCTGTGTATTAGTCTTTCGACAAAAACAACTGGGAAAAATGAATGACAGGTTAGGCACCATTGCAGTGTAATTGGCGCTAGGTTTGACGTAAGCCATTGTTTCTGTAATCTTTAAAGCTCTTCAGTCGAGGTCTGGAGAAATGTAACTGAAATTGACAAGGTTACATCTCATTGGAATTTGGGGAATCATTATTGGTATCCTTCATGGAAAGGAAGCTCACAGCTGCTTCCAGAGTACGATGATTAACTGAACTGAATTGTGGAAAAACAGTTGACTGATAGACCTCCATATCCCCTGACTGTTAGTTGTGATGGAAAAAAAACTTGATTCAATTACAAATCTCTCATTTGAAAAGTTTTATATTGCAACAATGACCTCAGAATAGATGGCAGTGGCTGTGTATGGTAAGTCTTATTGGGCCAAAGACCTGCAATTTTGACTGTGGCCAAATTAGCGTACAACCCAGGTCTGTTCCTGGTGGTTTGGGATATGGCATTCAGACAAAAAAAAGTGTGTGTAGAAAAATGAATGCCATTGTGATAACCACTTGGTACACACAGCATTCATGTTACAAAATAATCCACATAGACTGCATGTATTTGACTTGCTGAATGACTTTGGGAGTTTTTCAATCACCAATTATCTGTTCATCAAGTCATCTGATAATTGGGCAACATCCGAGAACTGGAAATTCCGTAATCAGCAAAGGTGCTAGCCAATTAGGCTTAATCTTTTGTATGCACAGGTGAAGATACTGATATACGGTTCTGAGGCAAGGATGACCAATGTTTGATACAACTTGTGGAAATCCACTAAAAGATGACTAGTAGGCAAAGTATAACAGGATAGGATGCTGCTGCCTGCTCACTATCCAGTCATAATCCTTCTGCTCTGTAGAATCATACTGATCCACAAAAAGTCCAGAGAGCCGGATGAATAAACAGACAAGGATATGTCCGGGCATGCACGCTTTATGCTTTCTAAGAAGTGTCTGGCTCTGGCTCTCACTATCGATGACTCACTGTCACACACTGTTACACACTTCCTCACTCAGAAGGCAGTCATCAACCCCCTCCAAGCCTTTTGCCCTGACACACACACAAACAGAGAGACACTTCACAGACACACTTTATTAAGGCAATAGACACTCTACGGGGGTTGGGGACCAATGTCACATCACGTTGCATTCACAGTATTTCAGAGGTTAATCCGTCATAGCTGTTGGCAGCTGGTGGGGTTTTTTGTAATATGAAGCAGTTGGCACAAGTGCTACTTTTGGGTACACCTCACTAGAGATATGTTTGATTGATAGATGTTAATTGGAAAAAAAAACACTGAGAAGGAAATTTGATGTTTTCTCCATTAAAATGAGTAACGTGTCAACAGTGTTTCATGTGGTGTATAATGTTAGCTTCTAGCAAGGTAAGGCTGAGCAGCTTTTTGAAGCTCAGCCTGAGCTTTGTGCTTTTCTCTCTGTGTGATAGTTACTGGTCACTAGGGTTATAAATGTCAGGCATTAGACATTAGTTTGCGTGTTAAGTCACATACGTAAGTTAGTGATTCCAGAGTGTGCGTTTTCGAAACAACTGGCCAACAGAGCAATGGGTCTCACAATCAGCTTCCTAGTTCCCCTTTTTTTCCACACTGCTCCCGGCACCTGTCTTCAGCCACATTTTCACTTCTCTGGGAGCACGTACTTTCCTCTGATTCATAGATCTGCCATTCTCCACCTTTCCACCATATGCCCCGTTTCCTCATTTCCTCATCTACCCACCTGTTCCCACTTCTCCTGCAGTTACCTGGCCTACTCCCTAATCAATATTTTGATTACATTTGTTTCCTGCCAGATTATTAAGTTTAGTTTCTATGTCGTTTCAGTCTGCCTTGTGTTGTTGTTGTTTTTGCTTCACTATCTTTTAAACTTGTTAATATTAAATCACTGAATATCTGCATTTGGGTCCATCCAATGCTACCTTGCACCCTCCACCTGTGACAAAGGGCATTTGTTTTCAGAATAACAGGCTGTCGGACAAATAGGCTTTCGGTCCATTTTTCTGACTATTGAGGTTTCGGAATAATGGGCTATGCATTGAATAATGTCGGGCAGACAAACCCTGTGTGACATCACATAAAGCAGCCAGGTCTGATACTGTATTTCTTTCAAAGAGGCTTCTAATAATATCTTGGACCAATCCACCAGGCAGACATATGTTGCTGTTAAGAGTCGTAAATCCATACGTATTTACACACAAGCAAACATTTTGTATATTCCGTATATTGCAATTGCACATAATTAATAATTTCAGAAAAAAACCTCGATGTGCACATAAAAATAATAGGAATGTGTATCTGCTTAGACATACACACACACACACACACATTCCTACACACATGACGGTGAACATACACATCCTGGACCTTTTACTTCCATTCATGCAACACTGCTGTTTTCAATCAACCCAGGATCCTCCCTTGTGAATGTCACTAACCACATGCAATTCTCCTAACTATCTTGGGTGGTTTTCACCGCACCCAACCTCTCTTACTCCCTCTCTGAATCTATATCCATGGTTGTTTTTTTTGCCTTTTTTTTATTCTTGCTTTTTTTTACTCCAGCCATATTTTGCCGGGGCACACAGTACTAAAGATTTATGGGAGGCACTCTGGCTCTGACCACGCTAGTGTTTACCAGTCAAGAAATGTGAGGGCACAGCCCACAAGTCCTTAGAACAGGTGCCATGTGTATGCATGAATGCTGATGCACAGTCACATAAGTGCATACGTTAACACCCTTATTTTCCGACATAAGGATGTTATGCCAATAGTTAATATGTTAATACTTAAGTTTGTAGTATCTTAGAGCCAGTAGTTTGCCAGAATGTCATTTGGAAGTTAGTAACTGCTGGACACATGCACCATCACAGCAGGAAACAGCAGCTGTGGTATCCAGTGAGAAGCTGGCCCAAGCAAGTTAACAGGGAATGGGAAGCTGCCACAAACAGGGACCCCTTCCAAGAGGGAAAATAGAGTACAGTTTACACACACAGCATGTCAGACAAGCCCAGACTTGCCTCTGGTACAAACACTATGGCCAGTGTGAAGGCAAGGTTCAGTGACTTTAGAATCTATGGATCATCCACAAACACACACACAAACATGCACATAAACGACAAAGTGACCCAATCAGAGATAGTTACGCAAATAATTCTGTAAATTAAATAGTTTGGCATTGTATTATTATTATTATTATTATTATTATTATTATTATTATCATCATTATTATTTATTCCATGCAGTTTAGTCTACATTTAGATACTTTGGTGATCAATGACTACTACTATGCTACTTTAACTTTAAAACCAAGTCATGGCAAAAAATATTTAATAAATATAGGCTTGATGCTGTACATGAAAGAAGTTTGGCTATCTAGTGAGGCAACGATTACTGACCCTCATTACAAATATAAGATTGTGTGGCATGAACATGGGGTTGTGTCTCAATGGTAACCCTAGATTTGCTAAACTCCTGAGATTTGTACGCATTGTTGCAAAACTCCTGAGATTTGTACGCATTGTTGCGAAACTCCTGAGATGTGTACGCATTGTTTCTTCATTGTGTGCATTGTTATTTTGCACCATTAACATGGAACCACAAAAAAGATCGACATTTTGGAAAGTTACCACAAGAGGGATTGTTTTGTCCTGTACACTGGTTGACGTGCAGTTTAAGCAGGAGATGTAGGCTACCTATGTTTCAGATACCAACACCTTAGTAGTAGCACTAGTAGTATTATTTATTTTTCATAGGTATTTATTGTGGACCAGTATAATTTAGCTGCTATTGCTGGAATTGCTGGAATTTTAAAACTATAATTTCAATATCAAACTCAGCATTAAAACAGTGCTTTACACGCTCCACACAACAGAGATTACAGATTCATACAGATGTAAAATTACACATAAAGCTGAAAAACAAATATATGGTACTATAGATACAAGTGTGCCACCCCAATATGACATTCCTAAACAAATAAGGGATACCTGTAAAAGATTTCTGATGCTGCCAGAAGAAGCTGACAGATTTAGCTGATATATGGAGGAAGATTGGTGTAAGGGCCAGAACAATGACAGCCCTGTCAGCTTTTCAAATTTAAAGGTGGAGTAATGGATGGATAATAGACCTTGGTCGGACAAACTACATGAACTTACAGTGATATAAAGGTTCCACATCTAAGTTATAGATGCTGATAGTAGACTGTGCAGGGCCTTACCCTTAATTGCAATATATATTACAGTTAACTAAAAGTATGAGTAATAGCTACATATAGCAGACTAAATGCACTCACATATTGGACTATATATACAAATATCTTAGCTATGCCTTTGTGGTATGGACCCAAAGCCCCGATGTCCGACAACTTGTTATTCTGAAAACAAACACCCATTGCTGTGAAGGCCCTGTGTGAAAATAGACTGGTATCTGGTATCATCAGCTTACGTATGTAATTTAATTGCCGTAACTAACTTAAGCTACTACTTTTAACCTAAGACAACAAAGATTACCTAACTATTGTTACTGTGACAGCGAAGGTCACCTGACTTTGTCCTTTCCGTCACATCCAAATACACATTAGAAGATATTAAGGGCAGAAAACTCGAGGGAGAGTGTATATCTTCAGAAAAACAGGCCTTTGGAGTAGTGGGCTTTTGTTTTTGGGATAACAGGCTGTTGGAACAATGGGCAGTCCCAAAGTGCTTAGGGTAACAATTTTGTCTAGCTATTTAATGAGTTGGTAAGGTTTCCCCAAAATTATTTTGTCAAATTTCTAGGTTAGTCCTCGTCATAGAGGCATTTTATCTTGTCAAAGGTAAACATGTCATTTGAGTATACTTTAAAAAATATTGCTCTTACCTTTGTGTAGGATTCCCTCAGTGTATCATTACTCTCTGTCATTTTCAGAAGCTGGCAGTTTTACCATTTGTACCATTGCTAGCAACGTTCAGTCTACAAACAACCCATAATGCAGCATACTCTTACAGCAACACTCGCTTGGTAACACAGCTGGTAAGCTACTAGCTTGCTGCATTTAAAGAGAACATCTGCTGTAAATCTCTGTGAATAAGTACATGTGTAGTCCTAATTTCCCAAATTCAGGCCACTACAGTACTATACAGATATCTACACATTTGTTTTACTAGTAGGAAACACAGCTACACTGGAGATATTTGACTAAACACAACCTTGCAAGGTATAATGTCCAGTGTAACTGACTGTGATTTAAAAGAATACATTCATTAAATGTTTCATTAGAAAGTGCATAATATGGGAGAATAACAGCATGCATGCATGCTGCTGCATATACTATGCATAATATCCAGAGTAGGCTTGATGCTGCCACTGCCAGAACCACAGAAGATCAGAGGTGTACAGATGGGACAAAAAATATTTTTATAGCTTAAATACCTCACCCTTAATGCCTGTTCCTGTATAGATGTTCTAATATGGATTCATGACCAGGGCAAAAATAGACAAACAAAAAAGTGGAAAACTTTTTTTTTTTTTTAAATCTGACTAATTTCAACATTTATTTCCCCTTAAATACCCCTAAACTAGAATTTAAAAAAATGGGTATTACAGCTAAGACATGATCTTTAGCCTTGGTTTTGGGCCTGAGCCCTCATATGGGAATTGTGGTACCATACAGCACCATCCATTGGGAAGTGACCTCCTTGATCCTTCCATGTTATCCCACGGCCCAAGTGTCATGAATCCAGTGAGTCATTTGCATGTTTTGAGGTTGAGTCAGTCACCAAAATGTTTTGCATGTTGGAGTACTGACTCAGAAAATCAACAAAAGTCAAACCTCAAATCATGTTATCATACTATAAACTGGGGATAAAAGGGGGGATGTGGCTTTACTCTTATATTAAATTTACTTTAAAAAGGTCATTACAGGTCATTATAATCAAGAAACTGACTGAAGGAGAAAAAGGGAAACATATTTACATTTATTATGTGCACTTGAGCCACAAAAGTACCAGTATGTAGGATTTAGTGGGATCTTGTAATCTTGCAACTACACTGCTAGATGCAACTAAATCCTACACACTGGTCTTTTAATAAACAATAAGTAAGTATATATAGTATTGTACTGTACCTTCAGCCTCTCGTGGGGACCAGTGTCCAGAAGGGGCACACGGTCGTGGAGAGGAGGAATTGGAGGCATACTGCAGTAAAACTCTCCCCTCAGTGCATTTATCACACACTGATCCCACTTCTCTAGGAAACCAACAGACAGGCACAGCAACCAACTTAGATACAGGCCAAATATACATAATTCATACAGTATACAAAAAAGACACATTAATGACAATATGTAAAATGATGTGACAAATGATGGAAACCTATGAAGCTCTTTTCACCTGTCGTAGAAGTGTCCAGAAATCGGTGGAAACCATTCTAAGGTGATGGAATTATGATGCTGCTCAACCACTTGGGGTGCCATGGGCACTGGAGGAGGTTTGGAGGCAGGTTGCCAGGTCTGATAGATGAGGTCCAGGTAGCAGTGCATCCTAGCCACCTGGTTCAGTGTGAAAGAGTCTGTGCAGGCATCATCTGCAGGTAACAGAGGCAGTTGTGAGGAGTGGGAATTGGATTTTGGCTTAATCAGTGACAGGAAAAGGAAGTAATAAATCATTCCACAGGTCTAGATGCCATAAATAAAATAAACCACCAGTTCATATTTAGCAGTTTATTTTTTCCATTTAACAATGACAAAAAAAAATGTTGAACTGCACAAAGGGAGTGACATGAAAGGATGTGCCCCCTGCTGTGTTTTTACCGTGAAAAGCCCCTGCTAAATTCCACACCTGTCTCTGTATGCACACAGACTCAACAAATTCCTCTTTCTCTGTGTGTCAGTTTTTGCATGTGAGAGGTAAAACTGTAACGCGTTGCCCAGGTAAGCAGCAAAACACATGTGGAGGCTCCATCTCACCTGCATAACTCATGTAGTTGTTAAACGGTGTGTGTGTGAAATGCCGACAGCCACAGGTTTCATTGCCCGGCTCAGGATCGTGGCAGCCTTTGTATTTGGGAGTGGGGTTGGTGTCCTCACACAGATCTCCGGTCTCCATTGAGGGCTCAGTCTCCAAACATGCATCATTGCACGACTCGATCTCTGATATACCACGAAATACATGGTAAAGCCCAAGACTGTGACCAATCTCATGGACCATTGTGTCAGTGTGACCAAATGTACCATAGAAGGAAGGGTTCAGTACAATTCCACCTGAGAAAATACACAGGAAGAAGACACACATACACACAATGTAAACACTGGAAACACTCAAGTGACTGCACACAACACAAAAGCCTTTTTCTAGTGTATCGTAAGGTAGTTGTGGAACTGGAGTAAAATTCAATGCATTACTAATGGGCCTCCTCAACTTCATTATCACCTTGTTCCCTGTTAGAGCTGTGATGAAGACAGAAACTGCTTGAGGCTTGAACTGTAATTACTCAAAATCAACAATCTGGGCCGCCAAAGAAGGCATGTGTGCATGTGAGTGTGCATGCATGCATGTGTGTACGTGTTTTTATTTGTCTTCTACCCAAATGTGTGAGGGCCTCTTTGTCCCAGGGCCAAGTGGCAACCCCTGCCAGATCTTCATCAGAAGAATTGGCAAAGAAGACATTCAGGTGAGTTGAGCCATCCAAATGCAGAATCTCTTTCAGTTCTTTCACATCCAAATAGGCTCTGGAATATAAAAAACAAGAAAAAAAAGAGTATTTCACATTAAGTTAATAGCTCTGCAATGAGGATGGTCTCCTCCTAGAGAATTCAGATTTCACCAAGGCAAATAACAACAGTGTTCCTGGCCAGAAAGAGTTTATGTGGTATTATCTTTCAGGAAAACAGAGCTCAGAATTAGGTCCCTGTTGAATTTAAATATTTCGTTAAAGTGTATTGGCAGTTGCAATGGCCCTTAAACCAACAGAATGAAAGTTGAATAGGAATAATTGACCCTGTGAGGTTGGAACCAGTTGACGTTTTAACCAATATGCCCAAACAAATAAAGACTTACTTCTCTCCTTGCTTTGCCTAGAGTGCCTGAAAACCATTTTCCTTGTGATCAGAAAAAGGTTGACTTCACTATATACCATCTCCAAGTTTGATAGTCCCACAACAATCTATGTTTCAGTTTCTTTTTACTCACTTTAAACACTTGCTCACTTGGAAAAGAGTGATTTTTGGTAATTTTGTGTCTAAAAGGCTTGGCATAATGGTTGTGCACCTGCAGTGCGGTTATAAATGGTGTCAGATAAGGTGAAAGAACTGCGAATCAGGCTGGTTTCAATTTCGACCAAATAATTTCTTCTAATTCTATTCAATTTCATTGCAGTTCCTGCTCATTTACACTTGTGCAATGGAAGGGTGATTACAGACCATGTTGTTGATAGTGTTGTCTAGGAAGTGCAGAAGGCAAATAAACAGTACAATACCCCAAATATGCAGCTATGGGTGTATAGCGCTTTTAGAGCTGAATTGCCATTTGTGGAGACACGAAATGCCAAGCCGCAATGTTTTTATGTGCATGATGATGTCTGATGTTTTTATGTTGGAAGACAGTGAATCATGCAATAACCAGTACAATAAAACATTTTTTGTCCATTATTTTGTCTGTTTTTGACGATCCCCTCGAGTTTGCTCCTTCTTCAATTTTACACACAGTAAGAGATGTCATGGTAAGCCACATAAGTACCAAACAGGTGCTGGTGGGAATAAATCCACTTGACCAGTGAGACTAAAAATAATCTGGGATTTTTGGACATTTTAATATTGTGACATTGCTTAATGTTTTTTTCATGGTCTTACAGGCTGCACTGCAGTAAAACGAATGGACTCCAGAGTGAAATAAACAGCAGTGACTTCTGCTTGGCTCTTTGATATTACATATGTCTGTCTTCACACTGGCCCTAAATATACTGAATAATGTATTATACATGTATTATAAAGCATGATGAGGCGCTAGTGTGGCCTTGAACTAAAGCCATGTGCCCCAGCAGCAACATTGGTTCCGTTTTTTGTCTTTATTTAGAGCACATTTATAGCACAAAATGTGTTCTAACATTTATTTCTGATAGGATCTCAGATCAACCTCATTGAAGTCAGCCCGAGACTTCAATTAATTGTTCAGATATTCTGATTTCCCCCTATCCAGGACATAATGTTTTGTCTTGGCCCTGGGAGTACTAACGGCAGCACTAACGACTGCAATCATTCAGCACAATGAGATATCTTTCCAGCAGTGAAACTGTCATTCATTTTATGAACACATCAAACAAGTTTTTCTCTATGAGCTTGGCTGGTGGTCTTGGCAAACAGCATCAACAAGCTCAGTCATCTCTTGGAAGAGTCAATAATCTCTTGCATATGCTACAGTGATAGTTTATTCCTTTCCTCTGGCTTTAGAAGGCTATGGAAATAGATATGCAATGGATACAAAAAAGGGAGTTTATCAGAAACAAAACATTACATTGGCCCTACTATCACAAATTAGATCCTCTTTGGATGTTTTGACCTAGTTAGTGTGACCCATTTGCCCATCTTACATTTTGTACTGTTATTTTGTAAGTGCTTAGATATTAAGATTAAGTGCAATAACACCGAGGCTAAAACAACATGCCTTTACTGCACCTGATCCCATACAACAGGGACAATTTCCTCCCAGCAAAAGAGTACATTACTTACAGTACTTCTACTTTTATGGTTAAATGTGTCCTAAATTGTAATGTAACACATTGTAATCTCTCACTAGAACAAATAACTTTTATGCTGTTGGCACTTTCTTGTGAATGGTACCCTGCGTTTTACCGTCTACGCATCCCTAAGTTGGTGGCTAAATATTAAAATAATGAGTCTTGTTTTGCATTTGCAGGCATAACATGGACCTTGATGAAAGGGTTGAGGTAAAAGTGAAGTGGGGTTGCTCAGACCTGAATATAAATAGTGAAAGGGTGATGGGTAGATCAAAACATGAATCATGTGGGTGTAAAACAAGTTGATAAATGATGGCATTGTAAAAATGAGATTAGGAGTAGGAATGGCATTTTGTGTGCAAATAGTGACAATGCTCTGCCAAATAATAGAGAATGATTGGTCATATCTGAATAGCTACTGCGTTGCAGGGTTTATTTGCACTTATACTGCATTATCACATATTTTTGTTTACATGAACTCCACATCTGTTTTGATGTTACATTTGGAAAGATATTTTGAAAAAATGCCATAGCAATAGTGCAATGTTTCAATTTTATCAGTTCCATATATAACACAAAAGATTGTGTCTGTAAAAGTCAGTCAATGTCTTACTTAAGTTATACCAACCTTTAACTTTAACTTTGTCCCACTTAAGTGAACTTAGGTAAATATAAGGATAAAAGCAAAAATTTCATAATACCTTTGTGAAGTGCATTATCCTGGAGTGTGCTATTTATATTTACTCTTCCACTCAACAGCTGACTCAAAATAAAGTATATTTACACATGTATTGAATTGCTGTAAAGTTATAAGGTGGTTACAGTTCCACTGAACAAACACACTTGATTTAATTGGATTTCCTTACATTCAAGCTAACCAGCTGAGGTCATCACTGACAGTATAGCCTATACACTGTTAAAATTTCCCTACTGTGCCTACTGTTATTTCACAATTTTCTGAAAAATTGCATTCAGCAAGACTTACTGACATGCAACACAGTTTATGATTAATGGCCCTGTGATAACAAAACCGATATCCACAAAATTGCAGCTTGAAGTAGAAGGGATCAAATTTGACATCTTGAGATTTCAGCTAAATTATAGTGGAGTATTTGGTTGCCAAAAGTAGTGTAACTGTGTGGGTGAAATCACTTTAGTTTCAGTGTTAAGCTAGTTTCTTTTTATAAGCCAGGTTTTGTACTTTTTTTCGATGTATAAAAGAAATTTCAACTGCTGCTTCTGTTATTTTTAGTAAAATTTATTCTTTTAGATAGATCGTTAGTCTAGTTAACCTGAAGAACCTATTTTGTACTTGTACTTGTACTTTAGCATTTTTTTTAATTAAATAAAAAAAAATAATAATTAATAGTTATATGTTTGAAAACCAAATGTTTTCATAAAATATTACTTTTGAGTATAAAACCAAGCTGTCTTATAGCCTATCAGTCAGTGACACACAGTGTTTGGCAGTGTTCTGGAAGAATTTACACCAGTGAGTTATTTCTGCCACTGCAACAGGCCTGCTAAGGCTTCCACCAATGCACATTTTATATGCACAAATGTTTCAGAACATCTCTACAGCCTCAGCTACTCAGTGAAGATGCAGCATTCCCTCAAACCAGACGTTTTGAATAAAGGGTTCAGTGTAGCAAATGCTTTCTTCAAGGCTATGCTAGAGCAACTGGGGGCAGTCACTGGGGCCAGGTCTAAGGAGAGAGAGAGAGAGAGAGAGAGAGAGAGAGAGAGAGAGAAACAGATGATATAAGGTCTTTCTTCCTAATAATTTCAGGAATTTCATTATTTCCTTAGAAAATATTTGTCCAGAGTTTTTGGACATGCATGAGGGGGAAAAGGGTCAGAGGGGTTTGATGCTGAAATGATTGAGTCAGCAATGAATAAGAGCAGCAATTCTACTGTAGGGTCAAAACTTAACTAATCTGAGTTCAGTGAATTTATCACTGTTGGCTCTTGTACAAAAACACAATGTGCATCACATGCTGGATTGATGCACAAGAGAACTTTCAGAGCAAAAACAGACAGTTTTAGTATAATCAATTGGAGAAAAAAAGGCCCTTTGTGTGTCTGCTTATGCGTGTGTGCATGTTTTTGATTTCACACTGTCCTAATGATCACATTTGTTAAGTTTTGGTAGAGCTTTGGTAGAAGCACTGCAGGAAGGCCTTTCAAACACTCTGTCTTTCTATCTGTCCATCCACATCTTACTCAAACCTCCTCGCCAATATCCCCACTTTACCCCGCCCCTAGTGTTCTCTCCCTCTCTCACACACCCCTAAACTATTTCCCCATCCCCTCGCCCCTGTTCCCTTCTCTTGCCTCCCATCATACATTTTTTCAGCCGAGATGAGCCACTTGGGAAAGACAAGATTTTCCATGCATTTAACTACAGCACTTTTCATGTCCTGGGAAAAAAACTTTTAAAGACTTACAAAGAAAAAGAATGAAAGAGAGAACATTTAAGGGAAGGAGAGAGAGAAAGGTAAGGTGAGTGCAGCAAATTGAGCTTCGCTATATTCAAGCATCACTGCAGGGCATCTGCTGTAGGGAGATCCAGGGGTGAGCAAGGCAGCTCAAACTGCCGTGTTAATGCTTTTATATCTGATACATATTAAATGGGGGATTATGACTTCATCCATTTACACCCATATATAATTCATGTGCGCCCATAAATTTGCCTTGTATACATATGTCTGGGGCAGCATAGTGTGAAAGCTGGGGTGAGCTGGCATGGCAATGACGGTCTCACGGCCAAGAACACTTTTAAAATTGGAGGGGGCCCTCAACTCCCCTGTCATCAAGTCGGTCAACACCACAGCCCCTAAACCCATCATTCATCTCTGCCTTTATTACTATACTCTCCTCTTTAACCTTCCAGTGTACTCCTCTGATTATTTTTTTTTTCCAAGGAAGACACATGCATAGGAACTGTGTCAATGCTTAGATTCCAGAGATTCTGCCATGACTGCTAGTTGCAGAGAGAAAAACAGGATTTGGAGACATATGGAATTGATGGTTGGATGGTGTAAATGCTCCCCAACTCTCCCAGTTCCTATTTGAAGTAATACTGGGGTGAACACTCAGGCAAAAAAACTGTCAATGTCTTCATCAGTCATCTCTTCCTTGACTTCTGAACTACAATGACCTTGCCAAGGCATTATCAACTAAATTCCCTGGTATGTCAAATTTTTCACCTACAGTGTCTGGCAACATATTATCCCACCATAGCGAGATGCATCTTCCCTGCCTGCCTAGTGGCCCAAGTAAAGCCCTTCCTTACTCCACGTTCCCTTCAGTCCCCTAGATAAGCAGCGAGACTTCTATCTGCCCTCATGAGAGCACAGGTGAAACCTTGACAACAGGTGCTTCTATAAGTGTGCTGTGGCTTTAAAGGGGAAGTGCAAAGACCTGGTATTTACGCCCAAGCACTCCATTATGTTTTATAGGATGGGGGCTTAAGGTTTAGACGACCAACTGTAAAACACCCAAGTCAAGGGCCCTGGAGATTAGCTCCCCGCTCTGAGCTAGAATACAGCAGAGAGAGGGAGTGAAGGAGAGAGAAAGAGTGGTCCATCCATTAACCTGCCACAGTGAGAGGTATTGACTCAGGAGGGGAGAGAGGAAGAGGCCAAGCAAAAACAGATGACCTATATAATTAGCCTCTGATAAACTCAGGCCAGAACCTCTATTTCCCAAAAACATATTGAGGCCGAAATGGTCCTAATATCCACCTTACAAAGTTTGTGTATCCATCTTGCTTTAGTTTAAAAAAAAACATTTTAATTTCAGGTGCTTGAAAAATCATCTGACTCTGATGAGTTCTGATATTATGGGATTGATCTTCTATCCAGTTGCTCGGATAATACATTCATCTTTCACAGACAGTCAAACACACACATCAGCTTTTTAAACAACTTATTCAGAGTGCTATTTGTTTTCAGCCTTTTTGCACATATAATATAAATTCACAGTGTATAAATTACAGCCACAAATTCAGATGTCCCTAGCTCCAGACATAAGAATGTTCAGCCTTACAATACTTGCTGTCAGATAACATCGGATACCACCAAACCATAAGAAGTGTCAAAACCAAGCGCTGTGAAAACAATGCAAAATATTTGCCTCAGCCAAATCTGGAGGGAAGGGGGGGGGGGTGTTATTATCAATGGTATTTTCAGAGGAGACTATTGCAGGACCACAGAGCTGCCTGTGTCCTGTGTTAGCCAGATTTTTGAAAACACTACATTTAAGTGGTAACAGGCGCAAACGCTGCAAAAATAAATGCAGGACCTCACAACCATTGTTCCCCTGCATATGCAGTACATTGTTCATCCAGAATTCCATAATTAAGGAGGAATGTCTAACTGTTTGTAGTTCAGCTCTCTGCAAGTCTCTCCAGACATACCATAATCAAAGCAAAATAAGCAACCACTTGAGGAGATTATATATTTTTTTAGACTGAGAATTCTCTTGTCCTCTTTCTGTCTGTCTCTTTCCCTCTCTTGCTGGTAACCTTCCTTTCACAAGCCCATCTTTCAAACGCCCATAGGGAGGTTTGAACATTGCAACGGCAAGGGTTGTGCCAATGGCTGATGTCTAAATGAAGTAGTTTGCCTGCCACTTGATGAATGAGCTTCTAATGATGACTAAGCTCCAAGGGATGTGGTGGGAATTGAGAGATGGAAGTAACGGCAAACCCACCTGCTTTTCCCCTCTGATGTTGTTAATTAGATGTCATTATTTAGCTATTTAGTGGTCATTTTAAACAACAGTATAGAGCCAAACAGACAATGCTTCCAGCTTAACAGTGATTGAAAACAGTCTGGTTTCCTTGATTCATGATATCAGAAAGACCCAAACAATCCCACGCACAAGGTCTACTAGTTTGCTCCCTTTCGCTCGTCCCCACATGACAGTGGCAAGAAATACTGATTCATCATCAGAATTTTGGTCATTTTTGTCTCTTTTTCTAGTGTAACCATAAAACCCCCTGCATTGTCCACAAAAATGTCTTAGTCTACTGTGTTGAGTTTCAGTGTACCAAGAAACAAACAATCCTGCTATTGGAGGTCTGGCACAAACCTTATTACTGTGAATTCCTGAGATTTGTTCTCCTTGCCAGCTTTTACTCATCATCTGCAAGCCACAGTGAGATTACCACAAAAACAAAAAGTTGCATGCATTTATAAAGGTCTCTGTATTCTCCTAAAGTAGTCACATGAAACCACATCTCTTGCTTGCTGTACAGTGGAGATTCTGTAATACTGCTATTCATGTGCAAGTAAAGTGAAACTTTATTCACTGCTTTTCCTGGAAAATTCTTTTAGGCACCCACGTTTAGGGACCAATACCTGCCTCCCCAGGAAACATGTCTTCAGTGGTTTCCTGGAGAGAGCGGTACGTCTTTTAAGTTATTTCCATTGCTACAAGCAAAAGCCATACTGAACTCTCTTTCCTGACCTCTAATTGCCCTTACACTCTGTTTAGAATGTCACTCTTTCCAAACCAACTCCCTTCTCCAATCAAGCCAGTTTAATTAGGACCATGGGGTATAGAAGAGTAGAAGAAGGTGGGGAGAATTGTTGAAAAATTGATACAAAAATGAGCGGTCTGGTATGCACATTTGCTACCAGGAAAGTCATCCAGTTGTGTTTGTTTTGCACTGCTTAAGTGTGGAACACTGATTGAACCAGGCCAAGGCTAGATTGGACTAGCTGCTCCCGGAGGATTTCCCAGGCCACACAGGCTGGGAGTTATGTTACACTCAGCCTCAGCCCAAATGGTCAGGAAACAGTAGGACTATACATCAAAACCTCCCTTCAGGGACACATGTATGGAAAGATTTGTTGTTTGATTTACTCTCAGCATGTGAGGCCATGGTGTGGAGTTGCTTTACCAAAATTATTCAATCACGTCAACCAAAAAATTTATCAAATTAAGCAAGGAATGCTGTGGTTAGTTAAAGCTTTTTGGTAAATTTAAGTCTTGTGTTTATTAAACAACTGCTTAATAGGATTACCAGTGCTGAAAACACGATAACATGCAAAATGTGAAGAAAGTGATCTTACTTGTGTGGAGAAGAGCGGTTGAAGCATGTCTTGGTCACATCCGTCACATTGGGGTTACAGCAGTCGCCAAGATCATAGAAGAAGTTTTCCCAGTTACATTCAGGGTCACATATACCATTCCCCTGCTTGTGCTCAGGGCAACGGCTCCGATGACCAGACATGCAGTCACCTGCATCAAACCCTGTCAGTGGATGGTTGCATTCTGGGTCACATGCATCATCTCCAACTTTGCTGATATCACAGTTAGCAAGAATCAACCGGTTTCGAAGGGAGGAATTGGTCACATTGTGAATGCTAAGCTCCCAGGTGATGTTGTAGGGGCTAAAGGCATCATTTAGCTGCTGGTGCTGCAGGCTGATCTGGTGGTCTGATACAGTTGGCCTCATCCGTGCATCGTCCCAAATATTTATGACACGATATCGTACTTTCTTAGGCCGACGGAAGTTCCAAAGCTGGTTGTAGTTTTTGATGACCTCAACATTGTCGCAGACCGTTTGACCACAAGTCGGAGGCTCTAGCGTTGTGTCCAGTAATCCCTCAGAATTTCCAATTCCACCACCACCTGGAAACCCTAATCGTCCTCCCTGCTCAGGCTGAGGAAAGCTACCATCTTTTACAGTCAGCCACTTCCGGCCTGGGTGCTCGAATGTTTCACGAATGACCAGCTGAGGTAGATCTTGGGGGTCCTCTTGGCCCTGCATATCCCTGATAATCTGCCTCTGCCCTTGGGCCTGCCTCCATAGACCCACCCTTTCCACTGCCCCCCTGTAATTATGATTCAGTGCATTCCCCCCTATCATCAGCACTTTGCACTTTTTGGTCAAATGGCTGAAGACATCGCCTGATTGCTCCCGACTGACACCGACTTGGGCGCCATTGACAAAGAGCTTCATATACACACCATCGTATGTGACTGCCACATGTGCCCATTGGTTGGGTACATAGCGAGTGTTGGAGTGGATGGAGGTCACTTTGTGGGCGCGGTCTGTTTTAAGGGAGAAGAAGAAGCGGGGGTCACGATTTCCATGTTCACTAACTGCCTGGATTCCAAGCAGCCAGCCTCGGTCACTGGATGCGTAGAAACACTTGTCGTATAGGCCTAGAGAGAGAAAATGAAAAAAAGTCAATTAATATGTGCCTGCCTTAATTTCCAGGTGTGAATGTGGACATGCAAGGAAATGATCAGCAGTAATAAAAAGTATTGCCCATCAGCCTCCTGAAAGAGAGCTGAGACTTTACAGACACATTCAGTCCACATCTTCTGTTTTCAATAATATACATGTTATATAGAAGTTACATGCATATGATCCTTACTGCTACCTTAATTTCAGCATTTTTCTGTCAATATGCAAATTCGATTTCAGTGTATATATTTTTAAAAGATCATTCAGAAATATTCTGAAAAGTGTTATTTCCAGAGGGAGACTGAAAATGTAGTTAAGATTAGGCAGCAAATGTATTAATATGATATATTTTTTGACATCTAAGTGTGTGTTGTCCTGGAAATTAGGTTGAAGTGCATGTTTAGCTAAGGGAGACCCCATGGAAATCTCTCTGTATAGGCTTTTCGTGAACACTGAGCGCATTTAAAGCTGTTCGTGTAAATGTCCCTTGCCAGTGGGGTAGCCAGAAAACGCTAGTTTTCTGCTAAAGCCTTGTTTTTGTAGAGGCACCAAAACACCTTTTCCTGTTTCACTTGGACCGTGTATGTCAGCTTCAGCATGGTAATGTGTTTTCACTTCTTAGAGGATCTCTGAATGTTAACTGTTTGTTTGTGTAGTGCTTGTTGAGGTATGTGTGTGCAGGCACACAAGTTCATGCCTGTGTGTATGTGCATGTGTGTTTGTTAATGCATGTTCATTACTATGTACATATATCCATACAGTCCAGTCAAAATGTGCAAAGATTCCGAAGCGCCTTGACTTGCCTCACAAGGTCCATCTCAGCATGTGAAAGTCTGTGTGTTCACAGGTGATTCTGGAGAAGGGGCAAGACTCCACTCCAGTCACAAGAACACATTCCTGGGATTTGCTATCAGGGTAGCAATTGTATCCATCCACAGAGACACTCAATCTGTGACCAGTACACCCAGCCTATATAGGTATGGAGTGTCCTTTAGTGCTGCTTCTGGGATCTGTAAGTCACATGCCTGTAAATACCCTTCATATTTGTCTGTGCTGACTTTAGTATGGTCTGAAATTATAAGTTGATTATCATAGTGATGATCTTTGCCTCAACGTACTTGTCCACTCAGATGCCTTTGGTCCCCATCGATTAGGCTACCTGAGCTTGCAATAAGTGGCTGGCTAATGGTGATTGCGAGGACATCTTGCTAACTTTGACCTGTTTCTAATTAGATGCACACTCCAGCATGCATTCATTAACTTGGTATTTCAATGGACTAATGTTCAAAGAGTAAGGTTGGGTTCAGCATCAAGGTCAGTCCTTTGGTGGATGACGTTTTCAGGCTTTCCACTACACTGGAAGGAAAAAGCCTTCCATCTGTCAGCTAGTGCACTCAAGGCTAAAAGGTGTGCTAAAATGCTTGTAGGGCTCCTAGTGTAAACAGCTGTCATAATTCTGCCATGCTCAATTAATCTAACACACTACACTTTTCCAGACCCTGCACTGCGCCTCCTCTGGCTCGCTCAAATACACCTACACACACATGCACATACTTATGCAGACATGTATATATACATGCTCATGAACAAATACACACAGACAAATTGAAACGCTGGAGCAGTTGTGTCCTCTCAGAAACACACACCCACACACACACGCAAAGGGATTTGCATGCGCACACGCTATGGTAGAGAGCTGTTCCTGTCAGGTTCAAAGGCAACCTCCTCGCACTTGCCATTTGTCTTCTTCCAAGAAAAACACACTCAGGAAAAAAGAAAAAGTAAAAAAAACACACATACACACACAAAGAAAAATGTCACAAGGACTTGATAAAAAGCAGGGAGGAAGGGAACAATGAAGACTCCGTTTACTTTTGAGCTGTTCTAGCTCTGAAAGGTCAAAGAAAGGCATTTTTTCATACTCATACTAAAGTGACTGCCGCAGCAATTTCCCTGAGGAAACAATGGAAAATTCCATTGATATTTTAAAAACAAACTTAACGAACATAACAAGGATATTGATTATAAAAAATATCACCACAGAGCTTAAAAACACTTTAAACATTTGACTTGGCTGTCAATTTCACTTTGAATTAATTCAACTAAATGGTGGTTTTAATTAGTCATAAATGATCTACCAATAGTTGCACTTAAACATGTTTTTAAATGTCAGACAACATTAATGGACACCACATTTTTTTCTGCACTGTAACTTATACTGTAACACTGTCATCACAAAAAACCTTATTAAACCCTATTAAACTTCAGGACGTTAATCATGATCTGGGGATATTCATTTTCCAAACACTCATTACGGCACAATAAGGCACTATCATATCATAACGATGATAACGAGTCAAACAAACAAGAAGACCGGGAAGATGTTTAGTTGAGGTAATGATGAAAAAAGGACTCTCAAAGAAGTGAAATTTGTTTTTGAACAAATTTTTGTGTGTATCATCACACTAGAAGACAGCACCAAAATATATCTGTTATCACCGCAATTATCTGCCAGCGTCTGCAAATAATAGTCCCCAGCAGGTCATGGAAGAAAGCCTCTGTTCCTCTTGTGATTTATTTTCCTCTTCCTTTGATGCGGGACAACCCAACATGACCCGGATACAAGGGCTAATAGGGCACAACAAAGTTTGCATAACATTTGGACACAGAACTTGGTGTTCTGATTGTGTAGATTTGTGGATGGGTGAGTGTGTGCACAAATGAGTGTGTGTGTGTGTGTGTGTGGTGTGTGGTGTGTAGTGTGTGTGCGTGCATGTATAAACTCTTACAAGGTTTCAAATGCTTTTAAACCTGGGATCAATTCTAACCACATGTAACTGTCATACTCAGGAAATGACAGCACAGGAAACATTTTTTTCTAGAAGTCTTGTGGTTCAATTTAAAGGGCACTGGACAATCCAAACTTGTGTTTGATAAGGATTTGACAAGTCATCTGTTAAGTATAAAGTAACGACTTTTGATCCCTGAACATTCTCTTCACCCAAAAGTGGTCCTGCTCTACCTCTCCAAGGAAATGGGTTAACTTCACTTAAACAACTTAAGGGACCAGTGTGTAGTGCAATCACTTGCATACAGCTCAGTCTTTGAAGCATGTAGGAGAAATTACGGTGGCCAAGGAAAACGTGAAAGGCCCTAACTAGAGCCAGTAATCGGTTTGTCTGTTCTGGGCTGCTATAGAAACATGGCGGTTTCTACACTAGCCCTGGACTCCGGAGAAGATGACCCACTCCCTTTGTAGATAAAAACAGCCCATTCTAAGGTAACAAAAACAGAGTTCTTATTTTCAGGTGATTATACATTAATGAAAACATAATATTATATATAATTTCTGGCAATAGATCCTCCTTAATGTTACCCACTGGAACCTTAAGTTCATCATAATGTCAAATCAGAAAAAATTTATACAAATGTATACAATACAAAAGGTTCCCCTTTCTCATCCATTGTTACTTATTGGATATTCCACAGAGTCAAAAGTATTCTGTGTGTGCAAGACACAACTTCAAAACATGTACAAGAATGTGCCACCAGAGTTCGTCAAGGATGCCAAAGTACCAGACCACTCCAGGGCTTCCAGTTTTCATTTTTCAAGCAGAGACAGTATGAGATTTCCTACCAATTGCGCAAAAAACCACAACATAAGTCAGCGTGTAACAAAAAGGTAAATTGAAATCTGGAAGAAAGAAAGCAACAAAGAACAAATGAAAAAGAAAGACAGAAACGGCAGTGGTCAAAACAACACAATAAAAAAAAACAGCTGCTGCTGCAAACAACACTGTGCTGGGATCAAAACAAGCGGATGGAGCATTTTTAGAAGCACTGGGATTTTTAAGGCCTGAATTGGAATTAAAAGATTAGGCTTTATTGAATTTGTTTGGTCATCATATTTGCTTTAGGTCCCCTCTCTGGCACACTGATGTGAGCATGATTGAAGTAAATCTTAAAAATGAACACACAAGATTACACATGTAATCTGTAATAGGCAGAAGCAACTACGTGGTGGTGAGTGGGGGGGCATAACAACAACACCTGTACAAAATAATGTGATCTTTAAAGCGTGCAATGGTGATTTTCTTTTTGTCCGAGAAGTGTTTATTCAACCCTGTGATCACTGTGGAGTTTGTTGTTTGTGTTCTTGCATTGTACTGCATTTTACTGCACAGATGTCCCTGTTATTGTGTCCATCCTCTTTAAATCTAAGAGTCACTCAGGTCACGATAGACCCTCTCACCCCCCCTGTACGCTCTGTTTGAGACTCTTACAAGGGATTGGTTTTGCATGTCCCCGCCAACTGGCTGGCACTACCTAAAAGTGTACTGTATCTCAACGCACACATATATACACATATGCTATTATATATGTATGTGTGTGTCTGTGTGTGTGTGTGTGTGTGTGTGTGCGGGGGGGACTAATATAAAATAAAGCAGCATATGGTTTTGTCAAGTCCCTAAATGTGCAGACTGGCATACTAGGAGGCTGAGGAGTTCAATTCAGTTCAAAGGCAGCCTTCTGCACAAGTACTGTAGCAAGCAATGAGTTGTGTATGCAACGCTCCCTATCGGCAAGGAAAAGCAACAAAAAAAATACTCTCCTCTACTGTAATGCACAAAAGCGCTATTGGTCAAAACAGATGATGCAGAACTGTTTTTAACACCTTTCTGATGCTCCTTTACGCATGGCTGCAGATCCGGCAGGACAAAAAGGAGTGCGCACAAGTGTCAAGCTTTCCTCTGACGACGGGGACCTGCTCAAGTGTCTGTGCGTCCTCATCCTCTGCGCAGTGGATACAGATGCATCATCACTATCTGATTGTGTCTTAAATTAGAAACCCGCCCGTGATTTCGCACAATGGTCTGCGTTTTGGAGAGACTGTGCACGACACCACCGGTCACCATGAAAGCACCACGGCCACGGCACAAACACAAGCAGGACATTTTCAGGGCAGGAGGAGGGAGTGGGGGGGGAACCCTGGATCTCTCAGTCCTGTCCCGTAATTCCGGTAGCCAATCCAAAGGTGTCGATTTTTTTGTTTTTTTGGGGGGATTTTTTTTCGGGGGGTGGTGTGGGGGGGCACACACTCAAGCTTTGCGGCTTGAGCTGCGTGCATTGAGCGCCTACACATACACAACATATCTCTCTCCGCTTTGTGTGCCTGACGCGACGTGCTCGCTCACAAAGTTTTGGCCATTACATCATAGTTTTAAAATAGCCAAGTCGGTTCAGAGAAATTACATTTTACGCACAGTGACATCAGCTGCCGGTCAAATGATGCAGTCGCTTATATCTGCTGCCCGACTCCTCACCTTAGATCTTATGATCACAAGCCGCACAAATCATCATTCTCATACGAGATAATGAGAGGGAAAAATCATTCGTAAAAATAAAATCACATTGCAGCGATTTTCTCTCTGCAAGGTGGCCAACTTAAATGTGATCAAAATCTTCAGTGACCCTATGCTTGCACTACCTAAAATATCCGCTGAGCATTACATCATTGTCTAGTCTGATAGATGAACTCATTTTCAACTCGCTGAAACTGCATGTTGCTTTGTTGGATATACTACATGACACTGGGATAAAATACTGCACATATGCATGTTTAGTTCTCATTTTCCAATTAAACTCGCTTTGGAGTTTCACTAATAAAAGTGGGGTTGACAATTGAAGGTGGGGGGGAGGATGTGTAGACTATCTTACCTGCAATTACTGTGGGTGATCGTTGACCTCCCTCCGGTTTGATCCACATCTCCAGAGTGAAATTTCCTCTGGGTATCTCCACGCCGGGCTTCAGCCGGAGCTGATCTCCTCTGCCGGTAAAATAGACAGCTTTCCCCCGGTCTGGAGAGTTTTCCTCCGCCTGTGAGGAGCGCCGACGCTGGCGAAGCACCCGTCGCTCCAAGCCGGGCAAAGACCGTTTGCCCCGGGGCAGACGTGTGGCACAAGCCCCTGGGATGGTGGCTTTCGCCTCCCTAATGCGCACCAACTCCCTCTTGGATCTCCCCTTTCTCCGGACTGTCCCGCACTCTGATCCAAAACACAAGATGAGAATCACCAGGCAAGACACCCAGGGAGATGTCCAAAGTTTCATTTTTCGGGAGAGGAAATGGCAAAAAAATATTTAAAATAAGAAAAAAAATAATAAAAGAAACAACGGAATAACTAGAAAAAAAATGTATGTCCACAATGTTCTCCTCTTTGGAATCTTCTCGAGTTTTTCCTTCTCTCTTTTTTTTTTTTTTTTTACAGCGGTAGAATGTCAAACCGTAGAAACTGTCTAAATAAACCCATAAAGCTATGCTGTTTTTCCCTCTTTATAATGCTAAGCCACGACCCCCTCTCTTAAGCAAAACTACTCTGGAGACATTCAGGGGACACAGGAATATTTGATTCATGTATGTGTTCCACGGTGCCTTTTCAATGGGTCCCATTTAGCCAAAGGGATGACTAATAAGTAATCAATCAAGAGGGGGGTCCGGCCGATGCCCCCCTCATCCCCTTTGGACGGTAGGAGTTACTCGCAGAAATCCACAGTTGTCCGCCAAGCTCTTGTCACACCTTTTTGTTGTTTTCCTTATCCTACCCGTAAAACAGCATAAGAAATGGCACATGTTAAATTCCAAAGAAAAGTGACAACAAACCGACCTCTCATATTTATTACAGGAAACAAGAGGTGAATTTGTGATCAAAAAATTGGAATCCAAACTTCCCTTTTTTTTGCCTGTGTGCCTGTACAAAAGTTGAAATGCACTATAATATCTGGTGAGGCGAATGAGAGAAAGAGGGACAGAGAGCTGCAGAAGTAAGCATCGCGGTCCTCATTGATTGCCTGAAGCAGATACACTTCGAGGAGTCGGAGCTCGTCGTCCGCTTTAGAGGCAGTTTCTCTCTAAGTCTTTTTAAGAACAACTCATGTTTCAAATGTTCCGGGGCTGCGTGTGTTTGTGTGTCTGTGTGTGTGTGTGTGTGTGTGTGTGTGTGTTTTTTTTTTTCTCTCTCTCTCAAAGTGGGAAGTCACACAGGTAGGCAACTCTCACTGACGGTAATTCTCTCTATGGCACACAGTGATAGGATGGTGTTTACGGAGTTTGAAAGGCGTATATGTATCCCTCTAGCGGTTACAATTTAAACAATCCAACACTTCCACCGAGTCCACAACACAGGACCATAACCAGGCAGCCTGAGAACATGTACGAATCATTAGAATCCCCGTTGTTCTTTGTTGAAATCCACTCTGAAAGCTGTGCGTTAAAGTTTTCTTTATTTCCATCCATTCCCCAAACTCATAGATTATGGCACTGGCACTGTATATACCTTAAAGCTCAGTTAAATGAATGACTAGACTACTCCTCTGTGTAAATGTTAAAAATATAATATAAAGGTTGTGCCAAATATGATTTAGAGATCAAAGCTTTTATTTTGTAATGTTAAAAAAATCTAAATAATATTTGTAGTCCATATAAATATATATATATTAATTTATATAGGCTTCAAAATGTAAAAAAATAAAAATAAAAGTAAGCAGTTTTGAAGTGTGCTCCCATTACCTGAACTGAGGTGGAGCGGCGTTTGGGGAACAGGTATGAGCACTATTGCTCCCCCAGATAGAGCAACCAGACAGACCTTGTTAAAAGAACAGACATCCCAATCAATATGGTCGTTCCACTGGTGCATCCAGCTGCCGGGGACTCTACACAGATAGGCACGGCACAGCAATTTGCAGACATAAACAAGGGCCTAATTGTTCAGGGCCTGGAGGTTTGGAGTGAGGAAAACAAAGATGAAGTATAGTGAGAAGTTAAGAGGCATTTTA